ATAAATCGGGAAAGCATCTTATTAATAAATATCAATTCCAACTAAAATTAAAATTAAATTTAACTTTTGATGTGAATACACAAACACAAACAAAGAAGCAGAGATGTCAGTACTAGATCTATATGTTATAGATCTACCAGTGAGTCTAACTCTTTGGTAGAACATGACAATTATCATTTTTAAAATTTCACATTTTGCTGTTTTTGTCTAGCCTTTCGCAGCCAGGAGCTGGTGTCATAATCGAGGTCATGATCTGATTATAGGACGGTAAAAAGTCGAGAAAAAAAACCAAGCACTTGCAGCAGTCAAGAGATTATTAGGAGTTAGTTCCCCTCACATTTGTGAGGTAGACTCGACCAGTGTTTGTAAGCTTACATAATCAGGGCTTATGATTGCTTATAACTGTGGCCCCAAAGGGGTGAACAGGGTATATGTGGCAATGAAACAGTTTTGACTGCTATGCACATGTTCCCTTCAAATCTATTGGTAGACTCTTCCAGCCTCATTTTAAGCTTACTTAATCAAAGGTTGCGACTGCTTATGGAGTGGCCCGAAAGGGGTGAGCAGGCTATTTCTGTGGCCGTGAAACCGTTTTGAATGTTAGGCATACTGTTCATTGTTGATTATGAACGTCTTTTTACATTTAAATTATGAGGTTTACGTTTATGGGTGAATTTGACAGCGTCAATGTTTCAAAATTAGGAAGGGAAGCAGTGATTATTTGATTATATAGACGCTTCGCCACTGAATAATACATTAAACGCGTTTATTCAATCTCCATTTTCCTCAATATCATGTGTTCCATGATTCTTTAATTTCTATCTGTTTTGGACGAAACAATTATGCTTTAGGATTCCTGCAATGAGTGAGGTTTTTAAAGAATCTTTGTTAACTTGTGAGTTTACAATATTATTTTGTAATTTTTGTGGTTACCGATGTCATCGTTTTTTGTTTATTTGAGCTAGGTTAAACTTGATTCTTTTTTTTATTGATGATATTGGTGTTTTCACTTCTTAGTCTTATTGTGTGCGTTTATCACAGTGTGAAAGGCAGAAATGAATACTTGTGCAGAGGCTCATAGATAGATGGATGGATAGGTTATAAATTGTTGAAGAAATGGAGACGTGTTTGGATAGCATATGATATATATATATATATATATATATGTATATATATACATACAGAGAGAGAGAGAGAAAGAGAGAGAGAGAGAGACAAAGAGAGGGGGAGAGAGAGAGGGACAGAGAGAGAGACAGAGAGAGAGAGAGAGAGAGAGAGAGAGAGAGAGAGAGAGAGAGAGAGAGAGAGAGAGAGAACGTTCTGAAATAATGATGAGAGAATGTCTCTCTCTCTCTCTCTCTCTCTCTCTCTCTCTCTCTCTCTCTCTCTCTCTCTCTCTCTCCCCCCCCCTCTCCCTTTCACTTTTTCTTTCTCTTTCCCTCTCCATTCATATATCAATTACTTATTCTTCCTTGTCTTATCTTATATGTGAGGCGGCGTGGAGGAATCAGGCTCTCGCCAACTTTTGGGCATGTAGAGTTACTGGTATCATCTTAAAGCTTGTTCATTTGTCTTTATTTCGATGAAAAAAATATCCATTTACCTTGAATACAAGTCGAGATATTTGCAAAAGAAGGAGATGGGGGTTACTTGTTTTCAAAAGCAAAATTAGAGAGGAAATGGCCGCCAAAGATTAGTTATTTCTTTAGCTTAAGAGTCCGCGGTAACTAACAATTTACATTTTTTGTGCCTTTATTCAACGTTTTTAAGAACATTCCACACAGAAATTACTTCTTTAATTGACTTGAAAAGTGTTGACCCAAAAAACAAAGATTTGATAAAAATTCGCAAACCTGCGAAAAAAAGCAAATTTTTTTTCATTTTGATTATTTTGACGAGAGCCTGATTCCACCACACTGCCTCACATATACTATATGCATCCTTCTGTGCACAACATTTCATGTAGAACTACAACATAATGTTATTGTTATAAGCATTATGTGCCTTTACAGTTCAATCGAACTTCCCATTCTCGTCTCCAAAAGCTTGTTCCCGTACCCTGAAAACTTCTTAAGATACCAGGCTTAGACAATGACCTCAAGCTTTACACTTAAGGAAATGATCAGCTAATGGCTGATGGGTTTAACCACATAATAATTGTTATCTATTCACATTAGCCCCGACAGCTGACCGCTGGAGGTTTGCCGTGTACAGAGTGGAAGCACACACACATGCTCCATCAGTGATCAAGCCACGCTC